CTTATCTTTCTCCCCAAATTATGTCTAATTGACTTATTTTAAATTTAAATTACTTAGAAATTGATCTATTGAAACAAATTTTTGGGCAATATTTACACAAAGGAGATTAAAATTGAATGAAATGCTGCTTGTTATGCTGAATCTGATGTGTTTATTAGATAATTATTATTATATATAATTATATTATCATTATTTGAGTATGCACAAAATTATGTCAATTGTCAATTATGAATAATTTCAGAGATGGACTACAAATTCATAGGGCAAGCTTCATTATTGTGCAAATCAGTTGTGCAAGTAAAAGAATGTTGTGGAAGGAACTATTGAGGATTACACCTATAAGTGTGTTAATATTAAGTATTGATAACTTTAGTGTTGTGATAATATTTTATAATATATACATATATATAGTATTTTTATAATAATATATATTTTATTAGTGATAATATATAGTGTTGTATGTACTATACTACAAATGCTATTCATTATATAAAACTCAAAAGTCAAGTAAATTTAAAATTTGTAAACTGAAAGATGCCAAAAGTATTATGTAAAAGTAGTAAAGTAAAAGTATTCCATTCATTCTTTTCATACATTTTGTAATTTTGAAGATTATTGAAATTTTTTTCAGAACTGCATGTGTTGTTACCTTAAGTATTATTATTAAAATTTTCTGCTAAAAGCTATTTTTGCACACTTGATGGGTTGAGTTAATTTGTTCTTATAAAGTATATACCTATTAAAGTATATATTTACTGAATAAAATGCATTGACCAGCATAAATTTTGTCTCTGTTCCAGGACATGCGGGGCGAGGACCTGGAGGCGCTGCTGGATTACATGTACGCTGGGGAGGTGGAGGTGAAGCACAGCAGCCTTGCGTCTCTCATCAAGGCTGCTGAGTGCCTGTGCATCAAAGGGCTTGCTGTTCCTGATGGAGATCAAGCTGAAAATTCCCCTCTGAAAAGCCCTGTGATCAACACAAATAACTGTCAAGATAATCCAACATCCAAACGACGTAAGCTTGACCGCTCTTCCGAGTCTAGATTTTCCGAAGAATGCAAGCGCAGTCGAGGTTCTCCTGTGAGCGGATCAAATCTGCAGCATTTTGAGCAAACCTGCACTAAAGTCGCCATGAGAGCAGAACAGAGTACGGCAAAGGATAGAACCAGCATGGAAAATTCCTTGGAGAATAGACGAAGAAACAACAGTGAAGGAAATACCTCCATAAAGACTGAAAGGGAATCTAGAGAAACCTATTCACAGAAGAAGGCCACGAAAGAAAATGATATTAGCACAAAAAATATGTTTATAAATGATGATATTCTGGAGCATGAAGTAAAGCTTGAGGTGGAGGAAGAGGGAGAAGAAATGTTACTGGAGAAAACAGAAGAAGATGTGTTCGACGAAGCTGTGGACTCGTCATCATCCGTCGTTAATGAGGTTAGAAATTTATTCTTATTATTTGCTTAGTAAATTTTTAAATGAATATTAACTATTGTGTAAGATATTTATATTTTATGAGATTTTTTATGTACATTTTTTAATTTTGAGGGTTATTGAATTTTTTTTCTTTTTTCAGAACAGCATATGTGGTTACCTTAAGTGAGCCTTGTGTTATTATTAAAAAGTTCTGTTAAAAACGTTGCATATATAAACACTTGAACTACTTTTCCTCACTTGATGGGTTGAGCTAATTTTGTCTTATTAAAGTATATATTTGAGTACTTTGAAACTTATCATTCGATTTACTTGCTTGAGCTTTCTCTTTACTTCTCTTCCTCTCACCTTATTTTAACTATTCATGTTTTCTTCTTGTCTGGGTTTAGTGAGTTGGAACCTATATAAAAATAATTAAATGACATCAATCAATAACACATCCTAAATTAATGTGACTTGTGCATGATTAGAAGAAGTGAAGTTTCATGCCTGTAAGATTATGCCTGGAACTTCCAATAAAAAGTCTCGAGTTTTCAGCCAGTTATTTATTTTTATTATAAATATGGAGTTGCCAGCTATTTGCTTCTGAAATAAAAGTCTCAAGTTGCCAGCCAGTTATTTATTTTTATTATAAATCTGGAGTTGCCAGCTATTTGCTTTTGAAATAAAAGTCTCAAGTTGCCAGCTATTTGTTTTTCCTTATTCTGAAGACCGGCCCCTGTTGAGCGGCTCTTACTTCTCAGAGATTGTGGTTGAAATTCTGCACACCTTTTTTCTGGCGGAAAGAAGAGTTCTTTTCACACAATTTTTGTCGTTGATTTGGATAGAAGACAAAATATTTGGATTTTCAAGAAGCCTGCAATGTTGCTGATGTTGATCCATCTGTTGCAGCCTTGGCGGAGCAACCAAGATGGCGGCAGCAACATTCAAGATGGCGTTGATGGAACCATTCAAAATCATGGCAGTCGAATTGTCACTGATGGAGACAGCTCTGTCCAATATAGCGAAGCTATGTCGGGAGCTGGTAAAAATATGCCTGCCATCGAAGATGATCTCGACCGGTCGAACCACGATATCAGCTCGGAAACTTCAGACTATGAAAACTCAAACGCCCGCCATGACGATCGTGATGGACGTCAAGATGGCGGTCGCGATGGACGTCAAGATGGTGTCGGCAGTTGCGCGCTGCTGAAGAGCGACGAGGATTTTGACGAGCATCGTTTCACTGACGCAGAACTGGAAACTCATGATGACGTCGGAGACGAAGAAGGAAATACCCAAAGAGAAGCGGATTATCACGAAGACTTGAACGATGACGACGTAAGCATCCTGCGTGACGACCGGACGATGGTGTCCGATGGCCTGGAGACTCTGAGGTCCATGGGAATCTCCATCCAAAACAGCGGCCCAAGTGTGGGATTTTTGCCCCAAAATTTGGTTTCTTCGACACCTATTTCTCGGGTTGATTTCGCCGTAAGGTCACATTTACCCAACCCCACCAAACTGGGGTTGGGTAAAGACAGAAATACAATACTAAACCGATCACAATCCCAGTTGATTGGCCAGCTTAACCCTGTTAACAGAGGCAAAGGTCGAAACTCAAACATCCTCCTAGACCACGGACAGGACAGGGCCCCGACCGCCCATTTCCTCAACCACGAAATGGGCAGAACTGCAATCCATGGCAATCCAATTCCATCACATTTCCTGAATGATTCATCCTCTCTCACAGCCAACCCAGGGTTACATCCTGGATTGTCTACCACACAATCCGTTACCCTCGATGACCTCAGAAGTTCTTTGTCTGGATTCGATCCGCATTCCTCCAGCCGGAAAGAAGCGGACGAACCTCTTCACTGTCCGTTTTGCGGGAAGCTCTGTAAAAGGCGTGACCATTTACGGCTGCACATCCGCATCCACACGGGCGAGAAGCCCTTCAAGTGTCCGTATTGTGACCGCCGCACCAACCAGAAGAACAACTTGAAGCTCCACATCCGCAACGTCCACCCCGGCCTCCCTGTCATGGTCAGCGGCAGCTGGTGAACCGCAACTGCAACCTGGTGAAGGCTTTTATTATTTTACCAAAGGCTATCGGAAATTCCAATCGCGTGTATTGATTAGTTATATCCAAGGAAAAATTACAATATTTTCGCGTATTGATTGGTTATATCCAAGGAAATATTACAATTTTTGCATGTATTGATTAGTTATATCCAAGGAAATATTACAATTTTTGTGTATATTGATTGGTTATATACTAGGAAAAATTAAAATTTTGTGCGTATTGATTGGTTATATCCAAGGAAAAATTACAATTTTTGCAAGTATTGATTAGTTATATCCAAAGGAAAAATTATAATTGCTTGACTGTATTAATTGGTTATATCCAAGGAAAAATTAACATTTTTGCGTGCATTGATAGGTTATATCCAAAGGAAAAATTATAATTTTTTCTTGTATTGATAGGTTATTCGTTGGTTCCTCTACCCATTCGCGACGCGACGCAATTTGAACGTAGTGGAACGATGTTGTTGTATGTTGTATTACGCTGTTGTGCATTGTGATATGTGTAAAACTTTGTTGTATATTATGGTATATTTACGTGTTGCTTGATATTTTGTTGTACATTGTTTAATATACGCTACGTTCAGTGATACGAGAGCGTATAAGTGTGGGGATTGGCGGTGTCTACGGCTTCAGTGTTTTATTTTTGTACGAATTCATTAGGAACTTGGTAAAATACAAGCGATTATTTGTATTAAACGTACGTATTTATTAGTAGGCTAAAGGACGCAATTATCTTATCCTCTGTCGTTATAATTTTTATTTAATAAAGGACTCGTCGCTGGAGGTTTTTGTAGCTCTTCAGTGTTGAACGCAATACTTTTGTTTATCGTATTTATGTTTGTATAAAATATTTTTCTTTAAATTATTATGCAATAGTTAGAATTACATAGTAATCCATGTCGGCAATCGTATGTAGTTTTTGATACAATTGCTCTCTGTTGGTAGTGATCTTAGAAGTCGATATTTACGACACGTTTGTACTATAAAACTATCACCGTGCAATCTTGATATAATGAAGCAAATATCACTTCTGATCCTTAGTACTGCATAGTTCTTCTAGTACTGTATAGCACTCGCTTAAATGCTTTATGAATTACTGGTGTAATAATTATAATAATTATCTGCAATCCTATTAGTCAATAACTGCAGTAATATAAGTAGAATAATTGTACGATTAGAGAACCGAAACTTGCAACCACCTTTGTCGTGTTGTAAATAAAGCAAATATTGCCAGGAAACAACTCTGATCTTTGTGAAGTATAAATTTTGATTTGGATGTATAAGAACGATAAAAGTTTAAACTTCAGTGGAGTCAAAGTTTTCGTTGTTAATAAACGCCGCTTGGGAATGAAGATTTTCAATCCTTTGTCCTTCAAAGCGGAATTTGGTCCTTTAAATCTTAATTTGGCCCTCCAGAATGGGATTCAGTCCTAAGCGAAGTTTGGTTCTTAGCTGAGGTGAATGTACATTAGTCATACTGAACAGAAACTAGATTTATATCGATTAATGACAAATGAAATAAATCGTAAGTCTCACTACCTTGTTTTATTTCCAGATGACAACGTCATCATGTTTGGTAGCACATCAACGTGGTTGTGAGCCCGAGGTTCTCATGGACAAGATGGCGGACGTACGAAACGTTCCTGGTTCTTCAACGATGAATTTGGAAGGCGAAGAATCAGTTTGCCAGCGAGGATACACAACAGAGACGTTTTCAGAGCGACGTAAAACGCTCTTGAATCGAACAGAGCCGTTCACAACGTTCCGCTCAACGTTGGATAAACGTCGCGGTGATAAAGATCATTTCTCTGCACAAGGAAACTCGAACTTAGAGGCTACGTGCGAAACTTCTTCAGGAGTCGTTCGTTCCTCACGAGAGCCTCGATATTCAGGAGAATCAAGTGACACTTCCCCCAAAAACACCCATTCCTCCCCTGGGAACCTCCATTCCTCTTTGTTTGACCCCCATACCCCTACACGAGGTGTCTATTCCTCGGAAAATCAGTTTAGTTTGCCCTCAGATTTAGGTGCAATATCAGCGATATTCGATACGTCCTCATTGAACCCTGGAGAGACGACCTCAATGACCTCTTGGGACGCGACCCTAATGACCCCGGGAGATGCGTCCTCAATGACCCCGGAGGAAAATGTCCCTAATTCGCATTCATTCAAATGCCAGATTTGCTTAAAGGATTTTGGCCGACGTTGGCTGCTGACACGCCACATGCGCACGCATACCGGGGAGAAACCGTACGCATGCACGTACTGTGCATACCGGTACACGTACCAGTATCAGCTTACCATGCACATGTCGGCTGAGCATGGTGGGGCACGGCGGAGTGGTGCGCAGTGATGGCGGCTGGTGTATCTTTCGTTAAGCTGTTTCTTTTATCGCCCTTTAATTTTTTTCGTCACTGTTGCTTTTTTCTTCCGCTCCTTCAATGAAACCAGTCTTTTTAAAATAAGATAGTATTCATGTTTCAGATATTATTTTAAAAAAGTATAATACTTTTTCAGGGCGCAATCCTCAAGAATAACCATGGAAGTGCGGTAAGTAGCCCCCCGCAAGCCAACGTTTCACGTCGATATCATACGTTTGGTGACGTCACTACACCACCTCTATGCGCTGCCAACGCAAAACATGATTCATCTTCGCTTAAAATGTCCAATGTTCCTCTCGAAAAATTGTTTGGATTTGATCAACTTCCTTCGCCATTCAAACGTGGATCTTCAGAATCTCCTGGTAAAGATGCTGGACCGCGAAATTTTCTATGTCCGGACAGGGAGGAGGTGTCTATGTTATCGTACAATGGAAATTATGAGTCCATGTTACCCCGCAGCAACAGTGACCAAAACTCAATGACAAACTTTACAACCATTTCACAAAACAACAAAGATAATAATCGTGTACACTTGTACCCTGATACCGGGCAACAAAACCTGTTATCCCATAATACTTTTGGTTCCATGTTGTCGTACCACGGCGATGACGAGCAAAGTTTCAAACGAATCGGCAGTGACGAAGATCTTGGGCTGCCAGATCGTATGTCGTACGTCTGTCACCTTTGTGACAGGGTGTTCAGTCGCGGGTCTAACCTACAGAGACATATTCGTACCCATACAGGAGAAAAGCCCTTCAAGTGTGGGATGTGCAATTACGAGACTGGGGACGCAAGTAACTTGAAAGCACATGTCGCCAAGCGGCATTTCACGGGGTGAGAGAGGAGTGGTGTTTCTTAGCGCTGACTTGCGGGTTCCAGCCTCAGCTAGCTGTGAATAAATTCAGCGGTGGCTAGAGCCAGCAACGGATTATACGTGGCCTAATCTCCAGCCCAAAATTTTCTATTTTATTCTAACTTTAGCCCCATTTTTTCTATGCTATTCTAACGTTATTCTACTTTACTTTAATCCACAAAACTGTATTTTCGGGAGTTGGAGAAGATAAACTTGAAGTCGTGAGTTTTATCATCGTTCACAGGACAATCAGAAATCCTGAAAATGTTTTGTAAATGTTAAAAGTGTGTATATGAATGTTATTAGTCTAGAATTAGTTAAATAATAGGTCTACTGCCTGGGAATATAGTGGGAGTTACCTCCTATGCAAATACACTGAGAGACATGTGAGGGTCTTTGTCCAAATAGCTATGAACCTTGGGTTAGAAAGTGGGTTATTATTTGGACAAAATGACTCTTATTTGAGTGTGCAAAATTACAGGTTGGGACTTATTCCTATGGTAACTTATGATGGTATTGCGGTAACTGATGATGGTATTGCGGTAACTGATGAAAGTATTGCGGTAACTGATGATGGTATTGTGGTAACTGATGGTATTGCGGTAACTGATGATGGTATTGCGGTAACTGATGATGGTATTGCGGTAACTGATGGTATTGCGGTAACTGATGATCGTATTGCGGTAACTGATGAAGGTATTGCGGTAACTGATGATGGTATTGCGGTAACCGCTTGCTAATCCAATACTCTTGCGAGAGAAAGTCTCAAGTCAGCCCATGGTTTATGAATGTTACCCACCAATTCTTGTGTCGTGTTCTATATATGTTTAGGTTGTCTATAATGATGAATAACGTGCACATATGCCATTAGTTATAGTTTGATCGTAAACTATCATACCGGCTAGAAGTTTATTGTTTTTAGGTTATGCATTGGATCTTTGAACGTTATTATGTATTATATTTCAGTGGAGTAGTTTTCGTGTGTTATTCTGTTGCAATATTTTCATGTAAATGTGAACCATAGAATAAAAAATGTCTCTCTTTGCCTTTTTTCATTTTTTCCAGTTTGTTTTACTTTATCAAACGCAAATTTATTGCCATTCATTATTATTGCCAATAAATTATTTTGTTATGTTGAGGCGAAGGTATTAAAATTATTTGCCCGCCACACAGCATAGGTTGCTTGACTGCGAGCTTATTTGATAAATTTGTTGCGTTAGCAGAAGTACTTATTTCTCTGTTTCCTCGATGGTTTATATTAAAAATATAAATTGAGGTGCCAGAGCATATTGACAAATGATAAATCCTGCTATCGCCTTAGTGTTCTTGAAAACTGTTTAGATTTTGGTCAAAATGACGAATTTCAAGTCTTTTAAATTCCGTGTTTCTGCGTACTCCTATCAGTTCGACAATGGTGATTATATTTTAACTGAGAGGTTATACAGTTAAATAAATTTTTTACAAATAACCAGACAGCTAGTCTCTGATTCCTTATTCAATATGCTAATGTAAATCGAACTCTAACGAGAGACGAGGCTGCTGGTTTCTCTCACAAAACAATATAACAACTAAAACCTTCATCAAACCTGCACGTCGAAATATCAGACTGATCTATAAATCCCAAAGTCATCCTTTAAACGATATGAAGGTAAAAATAATTGTTCTCGAACTTTCGATGTTGACATTAATGTTGACGATCACTATTGGTGACATTTTTTTAGAATACTTACGTCTGCAGATTCAACTGTTGTTAAGAATGTTCGTTATTTAATTTAAGAGAGTAAAAAATGATTCTAATTTCAACATCTAAAGTATTTTTTCCGTCCAAGAAAATTTAAATATGAATTTTGCATTCCGCAATTTTCGTTTCGTTCGTGCAGGCACATCAGCTCAGCTGAGATACCGGTGGTCTGGATTTAGCGTAATTCAGTTCTCGTTTGTATCCTTATTGCTTCGTCAGAAATACGACTCCAAGCAACTCCAGTCATTCAATGTGAGTCTTTTTACGTTATATACTTTGATTTGCGAATATAATTCTGAGTTCTGACTAATTGATTGTTTGAACTTTTGAAGTAGCACACTAGTTAACATTTTTACTACCTACTACACATACATTAAATTAGGTGGTAAGCTAAATAAAATGGTAACCTATTCCTAATTTCAGTAAGTTGCAACATCGACCTCATTTCGACTAACTTACGTGCGGTTCCTGCTCCCGTGGGGTCCCCGGTCATGATTTAAATCTCTTTTAGGTAATCACAAAATTTAGTCACAATTTTGTAGCATGAAATGAATGGAAAAGCTTCTTAGTTATGTGGCAATAGCAATTGAACTCTTCACTAAATTGTTGACCTATCACCTAATTCAGTAATTGACCATTGTAGCAGTTTTTGTTGAGAAGCAGTGACCACTGACCAGTGAGTTAGGTGTTTTAGCTGCCAAGTACCAAACCAAATCCAAGTGTTGACTTATGACTTTAAGCGCACTGCGCATTAGGTATTCAAGTAGAAATATAGCGACCTTGCCGGGGGGGAGAGCTGGGCCTGGGCGTGGGCGCTGTCTGATGGAATGACTTGTATAAAAATGTATCGATATATGTCATTGACAGTAAAAGTTTTATTGCTAGGTACTTTATTTTAAAATTATATCTAATAAAATATAAAATTAAAGTTTCCATATTATTAGCGGTTACCGGTAGCCTAGCTAGCCTGCTAGGTACTGTCTTTCAAGAGAAATTTTATACAGATATCAATCAGTAGCAGCAACCAGCAACTAACCAAGATAGGAAATTTACTGCTTGAAAAGGTGAAAGTCAATACCTAAATCTCATGAATAAATCAGGTCTGGTCTGGAAAAGTCCTATTTTTTTCTGAAATATTGCTGCTCTAATATCTTATAATTTTAGTAGGTATGAAATCTTGCGGCTATAATGTCATGTATTTTTGTTTGACTGAAAAAATCATGGTTTGCATTCTGCAAACATTTCATTATAGATTGCGTAGTTGTGGTCATTTCAGAGCAGTCAGACCGTCAGATCAGACTGCATTATCACGTGCCACTATGCAGAGGGTGGATGCAGCGTCGCCAATATATGGATTTTTAAGCCCAAAGCGTCGCCGGCCATTTTAAAGATGCGTCGCCAGGTAATTTTTAATGAAAAGC